GCGCGCGCACACACCAGTAACCACCATAAAAATCATGATACAATTTTTGGCTGCTCCCTTTTAGAAGCTTTTGCTCATAGTGAGGGCAGAGGCAAGATGTTGGGAAAGAGACCAGGCTTCAGCTGACAGCTGGAGGCCTTAACTTTAGATTGGACTCCATTGTAGGTTGGACCTCAGGGCTTATATATGGTCAAACTAAGAAAGACTAAGACACTCAAAGCTGGGGCTTTTATCTTTGCTGAGCCTTGATTTGTCAAAAGCAAACTACTCTTTCACTCACTTTTCCCCAGATGGGTAACTACTGTGCAAAAATATCTAATGGATATACATTTGGCCTGGGAACCCAGGAGTCTAAAATGAGAGTTTGGAGACTGGGGGCTTAACTGATGCCTGGCCAATTGATAAGCTCATTTGAGTTAGATATGGCCATAGGAGCCTTTTCTTTCAAGAGGCTGAGATTGCAAAAAATACTGGTAACAGACTTGGAGTGGTCTAGAGGTCAATAAAGTGCCCCTTGAATTTACTGAATTGACCTCCTGAACAGAAAGTCTGTTCTGATTTGGCCTATGTACAACATTGTGGCCCTGGAAGCTCTTAGAACTTACTGCTCCTCAGCCACCCTCCTCCCCATGGCCTTGGTCTGAGTCTTGTTTATTTGGAGTGAATCTTAGAAGTAGGTGCTCATCTCTCACAGTAGAATATTGACTCTGTAGACAGACCAAAACTAGGCCAAGATGACATTATATTGTCTAATCCCTGCTCTAGGCATATTTTCCTGAAGTAGATATGAAGCCAGGGAGATGGCTATGCCCCAGGCTGACATTGGTGGGTACACTATTCTCTCTTCCACCCCCATTCTTCAGGCTTCCTGTCAATTTAGGGGCCTCGGGATGTGGTGGAAGAGTGACCCTTGATTATAGCACTGTTTTTTTCCAGTTAGGAGAGCAATGATTGCTAGCTCCCGTGGTGTAGCCTTTCTGATGCTGGGCAAGTGGCTGGGCCTGAAGGCCTGAGTTCCACCAGAGTGAGAAGGAAAGAGACTGGCAGTGATAGCTCCGTGGCATCTATCAGTGGGTTCCCCCTTATCTTCCAATTAGTCCTGGACGCATCTGGAAGGGAAAGCAGAGTCACCTAATAGGCACTGCTCCCCAGGAGTTAAGCCATGTGACTAGCCTAGGGGCTCCTAGAAACCTCTCAGGGACTCTAGTTAGACTGATGCCAACTGGGACAGGCCCTGAACAGTGTCAGGCCCAGCCTGAAAGGGTAATGGCAAGCAGTAGTTATTTCATTGATGAAGTTAGGTTGCAGAAGGGCTAGAGTGGATTGTACCACATCCCATTGGGACTTTTCCACAGCATTGGCTTTTATTTCCTTTTCCTCTCCTAAACTCGTAAAAGCAGGAGCAAAATAAGGATGTTAAGGGTGACCAGAGAGAAGTGTGCACAAGACCCTTCCTGACGTTCCTATTTGCCCCCCATTTTCAGTTACAGGCCCAAAAACTGCGGCTGGCATATACGAGGAGCTCTCATTATGGTGGTTCTCTGCCCAATGTTAACCAGATTGGCTGTGGCCTGGCTGAGTTCCAGGTGAGTGGACACCAGCCAGGGTAATGCAGAAACTCTTAGGCAGCTTCACCCGCTGACTTGATGCACCTGTCCTTTTGGCAGAGCCCACTCCACTCACCTCTGGATTCATCTCGGAGCACCCGGCACCATGGGCTTGTCGAACGGGTACAGCGAGATCCCCGCAGAATGGTGTCCCCGCTTCGACGCTGTTCCCGGCACATATCCTTCACAGAACGGAAGGGTAGTGGGATGGAATTCTTAAGGGACTCTTTGTTGGAAAGGACTTTAAGTATTACACTTTTTTCAGTTCTGTCTTTCTTCAGGAACATCCTTTACCCAGCTTCCTTGAAAAGTAACCATTTGGCCCATGTGTTGGGACTGGATCCTGTGATAGGGACTTGCTGTTCCTAAGACTCTGTCCTCCATCTCTGATTGCTTTACTTCAGCTTGCTCTTTGCTGCCAGAGAAAGAGCCCTCTAATAAATCTTCTGCTAAAGAGAATTTAGTTCTTCCTGTTTACATTTCTCCTTTATAGTTCTGCCCCTACTTTTCCATCTCTGAGATCATACACCTGCTTACCTCAAGCCTTGGCCAGATATTCTATATTTTTCCAGCTTCTTCAGATCTGATTCCTTTATTATCTTCCTTTCATTGACCTTATTGTTCCCCTTTATAGGGAGAGAGACAAGTATATGTTGTGGGTTTTTTGTTTTTTGTTTTTTTTTTGAGGGTGAAATTATAAAGATAAACTTATTAGAAAGTTACATCCCCAAACTGATAGAACTCCCTCCCTGAAAGGAAATAAGGAGAGGAGGCCAGTATATGTCTTTTGAACCAGTTCCCCTCGTGCCTCCATTATTCTCTGGTTGAGTTTCTTCCAGTCCACCCTCTTTCTTCTCATCCTTTTCTCAACTTTCACCTTAACCAATGCTGTTCACGTTGACAGTTCTCCCTACAGTCCTAGCTACTTATCTCCTCCCCCTGAGTCCAGCTGGCGAAGGTAACTGTCCAGGGCAAGCCGACTCCTGTCTACTTTCTGACATGTGTCTGGAGAGAGCTAGGATTGGAGCTGGCATTGCTGGTCTAGGGTTTTTATAGTCCCTCCTCCCATAAAAACTAGGCAGGAAGGATTGAGGGGCAGGCAGAGTGGGTGGGTCAGAGTCCACTCTTGGCCATATTGACATGAATGGCCAAGCCTCCTAGTCTTGTCGGGGCAGGACCAATGGGAACTCTGGCCAGGCTGGGGTGTGTGTGTCTAAGGGGGAGGGAAATGGCAGGAAGGCAGGTGAAAACAGCTGCCTCTGTCAAGAGTAAGTGCTTGTGAGATTCTTTGACACTCCTGTATTTCTGGACATTCCCCTTACCTAACTCGCTCCCAGTACTTATGCTCAGCAGAATCTCTGGACTCCAAAATTTCCATTTAGCTTTCCTTGGCAGAAAAGTTTCCAGATCTCTTAGATTAATTAAGGCAAGTGGGTGGTAGGGGAGGGATGTGTGTGTTCATGAGCCAAAGACATAGACATAAAGAAACATGATCCTGGGTATCCACCACTACCTTAGCTACCCCACATTTCCCAGCTCTTCCATGCTCACCTCCTTGTCTATCACTAGCCTTCCTCCTCATGACTTTGCTTTTCCACCCCAGGATGATGCCTTGGGGCAATTTCCCTGCAGAGAAGGGACAGCAGTTTAGACTACCATCTGCACTTAACAGGTAACAGCCTGTCTCCTTTAAGCCATGTCTCTTTGCCTTTAGTCTTCTGGGACTCTACTCCCTCATCCTGTCCCAGCCAAGCTAGTATTTCCCTCTGCAGGGCAGGGTTTGGGGACTAGGAAGACCTTTTACTGTTGCCTGTTTAATTCTGCTGCTTCCGTAGGACAAGCTCTGACTCAGCCCTTCACACAAGTGTGATGAACCCCAGTCCCCAGGACACGTATCCAGGCCCAGCACCTCCCAGCATCCTTCCCAGCCGTCGTGGGGGTAAGTGGCCCTGTCTTAGCTTAGACAGTAGTCATGGAGCTTTGTTTGAAGGAGGTGTGCAAACAGGCACTACGGCCAACTCTCACCTTCCTTACAGGTTTTCTGGATGGTGAAATGGACTCTAAAGGTATGTGTTCCTCATCACTGTGTACTAGAATTTCTGGGTTAGTGTTGGAAGCTTTGTGCAGGGTCAGGGAGCGGGAGACTCCCTCCTGCCTGCATTTACCTCGTGTCCCACCTTACTGGCTCCTTCTTCAACCCTCCTATCACCAGTCTTTCTCTTTCAAGTCCCTGCTATTGAGGAGAACTTGCTAGATGACAAACATTTGCTGAAACCATGGGATGCTAAAAAGGTAGGTGCAGACTGCTGGACCACCCACTCTCCCTCTCTTCTTTCCATGGTTGCAAGCGTCCCAGGGTCTTCACTGTACACTGTCCTCATTTTCCATATTCTTCCTTCTCTCTGCTCAGCTGTCCTCATCCTCCTCCCGACCTCGATCCTGTGAAGTCCCTGGAATTAAGTAAGCACCTCTGTGAAGGGGGCTAATGGGTGGAGGAGGAAAGTTCAGGGAACTATGGGAAACTAATCTCCATTCTTCTCTGACCGCTGTTCCCATTTATGCCTTTGTTTTTCTCTCCTTCCCCCAGCATCTTTCCATCTCCTGACCAACCTGCCAGTGTGCCTGTCCTCCCACCTGCCATGAACACGGGGGGCTCCCTGCCTGACCTCACCAACCTGCATTTCCCCTCACCATTGTCCACCCCTCTGGACCCTGAAGAGACAGCCTACCCCAGCCTGAGTGGGGGCAACAGTACCTCCAATTTGACCCACACCATGACCCACCTGGGCATTAGCGGGAGCCTGGGCCTGGGCCCAGGCTATGATGTTCCAGGTGAGTGACTGTCCTGACTATGTCCCCACAAAGTGCAGCCTGCCTGGAGGGACAAGGGGAGGGAGATGAGCACCTGGGATCTGCCTGTGACTGCCACAACAACACCATCTCTCTACTCCAGAATTTTCCATTGCAGTTTTGTGTCATTCAGAACTGGTAGGTATGGCTTTTCCTATAAAGAGAATGGAGAGAAAAAAAGAAAATGGAGAGCAGCCCCCAGGTGGGCAGTGCCAGCCTCACTGTCAGGGACAGAGTAGGGAGGACATCGTGTTACCACATTCATAGTCTGGTCACTGCTACCCATTCCAGGTGGAAAGGGGCCCAGTGCCCATCAGTAATGTTGGCATCTTTGGTTTTTTGTCTGTGCCTGCAGGACTTCATTCACCTCTCAGCCACCCATCCCTGCAGTCCTCCCTAAGCAACCCCAACCTCCAGGCTTCCCTGAGCAGTCCTCAGCCCCAGCTCCAGGGCTCCCATAGTCACCCTTCACTTCCCGCCTCCTCCTTGGCCCGAAATGCACTGCCCTCTACCTCCCTGGGCCACCCCTCACTTAGTGCCCCAGCTCTTTCTTCCTCCTCTTCCTCCTCCTCTACTTCATCCCCTGTGCTGGGTGCTCCTCCTTACCCAGCTTCTACCCCTGGGGCTTCCCCCCGCCATCGCTGTGTGCCCCTCAGCCCCCTGAGCTTGCCAGCCGACGTCAGAAGGCCCCAACAGCAGCTGCCCAAACAGTTTTCGCCAACAGTGTCACCCACCTTGTCTTCCATCACTCAGGTATGCGTGGCTGCCTTCCCTACATGTCTGTATCCCTTCCCCTTCACGTCTCCTGCAGAGTTCTTTTCTCCTGCCCTCTCTCCTCAAATACTCTTCTCCTCGCTTCTGGCTGGTACGTCCTTGTCTTGTCCATCCCTTTTCATTCCTCTGTTCACTTGCCCCATCTTTTATCCATCTTCATTGCTTTTTGCTCAGAAGTGCTAACCTTGTTGGTTAAGTATTTTGGTTTTGAATCCTGACTCCATCTCTAAAGAGCATTCTCTGTTTAACTTCTCTGAGTTTCATTATCCTCATCCATAAAATTAGGGTGATGTTTTGTGGATCAGATAAGCTTATATTCATAAAGTACTTAGCACTAAGTTCAACTATAAGCTCAAAAATGATAGTTTATCCTCTCTTTTTTCTCTTTTCCTTTTGTTCTGTCCTTGTGGCCTAATGGGTAAGGAGTTGGATTGCCAATCCAAAAGCAAATGGTTTGAACCCACTAGCTGCTCTATAAGAAGGGATTGCATAACAATGAAAGAGTTTTTCTTTTTCTTTTCAAGGAGAAGAGTGATTTGGTGGGGAGAGGGTGGGCAGGGAGAAAAGGGCAACAGTGAATGACTGGAAATCCTAAGTTTCTGTAAACTTTCATTAAAATTAATAAATAAATTTTTTTTAAAATGGGCAGTTTACAGCCTCTGAAAACTCTAGAGGGTCAGCTTATGAGTTGATTCTGACATGATGGCAGAATTTAGAGGCTTTTGGTTTTGTGTATGTTTGCCTTTTTATTTCTTTTTTGTGTGTTTATGCGTGTTTTTTAAAATCCTCATGCTCTTAACCTCACCCTGTCCCCTTTTCCATTCCCTTTCCTTTCATAAAGCTCTTAGAGTCAGAGAATTTCACAGCATAGAGCCAAGTCTTTTCATGTTACAGAGGAGGAAACTGGAACCAGAAAACATAGACTTTATCAGGTTTATATAGCAAATTACTGGCCCTCAAGAGTTTTTTTCAGAGGCTGTAAATGGCATAGGAGGAGATTGCCCGTCTTTCTATTGTGGAACAGCTGGTGGATTTAAACTGCTTGCCTTTGGTTTGGTAGTACATCTCCTTATCCAGTAGGCCATGAGAGCTCCCTATATATCAAGTTGTTGTTGCTGTGTACCGTAGAGTCGGAACTGAACCGTAGCTGTCAGGTGGGTTTTCAGAGGCAATTAATCACATGGGAGGAGGTTATCCATCCTTTGCCTGTGAAGCAGATGGTGGCCTCAAACTGTGTGCCTTCAGGATTGCAGCTCAACTTCTTGCCACTAGGCCACCAGAGCTCCCTATATAGTTGAATGCAAGACTTTTGCTTTAGGACATTTTTCTTAATGTTTGCTTTCTCACTTATTCTTTCTCTCCCCTTCCTTTTTGTTGTCTCTGTTCCTCTTTTCACCTTAATGTTCTTTGATATCCTGTTCTCTGCTCTCCCTTCTGTTTCCCTTCCATTGCTGATCCCTGGAATGTATGTTCTATGTTCCATCTTTATCCAGAACTCCTATCCTGTAGGAAATACTAAGGTTAAGTGAGCAAGGGCTCCACTCTCTTGAAGCCTGGAGTTAGTCTAGCTTTCTCCTTTCCTTTGTCCTCTTGCTCTCTTCCCTCCCTATTCTCTCTTCCCTCCCCCTCCTCTCCTCCCTCCCCCAGCCTCTTCAAGACTTTAAGATAGAAGTTCTTAACTTCACCGTTGTGGTATTGTGTACTTGTGAGGTGTTTAAAAGTACTTGATTTAATAATTGTTGGGTTTTTTTTTTGTTTTTGTTTTTTAATTTTTGTGTGCGTGTACCGTCAAATCAGATCTGACTGGTACAGGAGGAGATTGTCCCTCCTTTCCCGGCAGTAATAATTGTTAAATTAACAAAGTTTAGGTATGATTTACTTATTTTCATGTTAGTCAGACTCATTTTTTAGTAATTGTACCTAACCACAGGGACTCTCTTGGAAGCAGTGTTATGTTTGTGTTGAGAATAATTGCAGCCAAAGAGGGTGAGTCCATGGGCTGCTATTGGGGTTACATTGTGGGGTAAACGTTCATCTTTTTCTTGCTTCTCTTTAGGGCGTCCCCCTGGACACCAGTAAACTGCCCACTGACCAGCGGCTGCCCCCATACCCATACAGCCCCCCAAGTCTGGTTCTGCCTACCCAGCCACCTACCCCAAAGCCTCTGCAGCAGCCAGGGCTGCCATCTCAGGCCTGCTCAGTGCAGTCCTCCTGTGGGCAGCCTCCAGGAAGGCAGCTATACTATGGGACATTGTGCCCACCTGGCTCTAGTGGGCATGGGCAACAGTCTTACCACCGGCCAATGAATGACTTCAGCCTGGGGAATGTGAGTACCTGGGCCACCGGCTCAGCAAGGGAGAGGCCGAGGGGTAGGGGCCTAGTTTTTTAAAGGGACTAGGTGATGTTATACAAATTGTAAACTCTAGCTAGGAGAGATTTCCCCAGATATCATAGTGCTTACAACTTGGTCTGCTCTTTTCCCAGCCTCTACTGCCTTACTCCTTTCGCTATTCCACTAGCTCTCTGTTGAGTTTTCTCTTTGATGGCCAGTGCATAGACCCGTTCTGGCCCCTGAATGCACATACTCTTTCCCAGCAGTTATGGTACCCACCTTCCTTCAGGCCCCAGTGCTCACAGGTGTTGCTCTGCTTGCTCTCTCCTCCCTCAGTCTCTGCCTCTGTACCTGCAGGAGTGGGCATGTAGATTACTAGGCAGAGTATGTGTTAGCAGGACTAGGCAAGACAGGCAGGAACATCCTGATGTGAAGCCCACTTTTTCAAGGTTTGTCTGTGTGTCTATAGCTGGAGCAGTTCAGCATGGAGAGCCCATCAACCAGCCTGGTGCTGGATCCCCCGCGCTTCTCTGAAGGATCTGGATTTTTAGGGAGTAGAGGGCCAGTGAGTGGCCTCCAGGACCCCCATGCCCTCAACCACCAGAATTTGACCCACTGTTCCCGCCATGACTCAGAATCTAACATCATCCTTACAGGTGAGGGGCATGTGGATGGTGGTGAGGGGAAGAGGAGTAACATAGTAGGAGATTGAGAGGTCTTAAAAGAGTTGACAGGGCATAAGGTCCTCATACATTTACTCTCCCCATACAGGAGACTCTTCCCCAGGTTTCTCTAAGGAGATTGCAGCAGCCCTGGCTGGACTGCCTGGTTTTGAGGTGTCAACAACTGGATTGGAGCTGGGGCTGGAGGATGAGCTGCACATGGAGCCACTGGGCATCGAAGGGCTAAACATACTGAGTGACCCTTGTGCCCTGCTGCCTGATCCTGCTGTGGAGGATTCATTCCGCAGTGACCGGCTACAGTGAGGGGACCTCATCACCGTCCTCCTTCTTGGCCCCAACTCCTATCACTGTCCCTTTCCTCCCTTCCCCCTGGCCAGTAGAGACTCCACTCTCTGTCTCCCAGATCCTCTCTCTAACATGAGAAAAAAAGCAAGGGGTTTGTCCAGGTGACCCCAAAATTCTGCACTAGGGGTGGGTCTGGGGGAGCTCAAGGTAGGGCCTAAAGCACTTATTACTTTGAACCATCTGCCCAGAGGTCAGAGCCTGTTGGAAAGCAAGGGTTAGAGGGGAGCTCCGGAGGCAGGGCTAGTCCGGATGCCTGGGGGTGGGCAGTGCCAGCCCCTCCTCACCACTCTTCCCCTTGCAGCAGAGGAGAGAGCCAGAGTGGATATTATTTTTTATTAAATATATTATATGTTAATAAAAAAATCCTATCAAATCATTTATGTGTTTGACTGCTGTTTGAGAACTAAAGATTTCTTAGAGCACAGGCCCTTTCATCTGCTGTTTTCATATCGATTGCATCTCAGTGTCAAAATAGGCAACAACATCATGATGGAGAAGAGATTGAAACTGTCGACCACTTACTTGGATCCCTTGGTACCACCTTGGTACCAGCAGTCAAGAAATAAGGAGACACATTGCATTGGGAAAGTCTGCAGTTAGGGACCTCACCAAATTACTGAGAATTGATGTCAGTTTGAGGACTAAAGTGCATGCCATGGTCTTTCTGATCACTTGTTATGCATTTGAGAGTTGGGCAATAAGAATGACAGAAGAATTGATGCCTTTGACTTGTGTTGGAGAAGAGGACTAACATCCCATGGACGGCCAAAAGAACAAATTTCTTGGAGAGGGTGGAGCCAGAGTGCTCTTTGGAGGCAAAGATAATAAGGCTTTCCCTTACATACTTTGGGCATGTTGCTGGAAGGGGCTATTCCTTGGAGAGGGACATGATGGTAGGAAGGGTGGAGGGTCAGTGAAGGAGAGGAAGACCCTCGACCCGATGGATTGGCACAGTGATGCTGCAATGGGCTCTAGTGTGTCAGGAATTGTGAAGATGGCACAGAACAGAGTTCAGATCTGTTCTTCATAGGGTTGCTATGAGTCATACCCAACTCAGTGGCACCTAACAACAACAAGCCTGTTAAGCTTTGTGGAAGGATTCCTAAACCTCAGGATTTCTACCTGGCATTGGACATGGGAACACAGGATAAAGCCTCTACATCAAAAATTTCCCTCGTGTGTCCAGTGCACTTCTGGGGTGTCAGGGGACAGGGCTTGACTGGCTACATTGCTCTTCCTCAGTCTTAAAACCTGGCGGCGACTTGAGAGCAAGAGACGCTGCTTGTTGAGGGCTGATCTGATGTTTCTGGTAAAATGACCCAGCTCCCCCGGGGGTATGTATTAAAACCTGCCAATGAGAAGGGAGAGGACTCTTGGACTGGCTACCTCCCCTGGCGCTATCGACTTAAGGGATGAGGCAAGTGGTACCAGACCAGCTCCTAGGTCTTTGGGAAACTCATCTCCTCATTGTGATTCAGCAAATGCTTGAGTACAAGCCAGTAAGTTTTGAAGCTTTCCTCTTTTAGGGATCTTCCCAACTCAACACAGAAGAGTAGAGTCCCAGGGAGTTCTGATGGCCTGGTGGCAAAAAGCTGTGCTGCAATCCCAAAGGCACACGGTTCAAATCCCTCAGGACGGGGCATTCCCCTCCTGTGCTAGTCGGATCCTATTCGAAGGACACAACAATAAAAAAGAGTAGGGTCCCTCTTCAGTTAGCCTGACTTCCATTCTCTATTCTACACTATACAGTTCAGGCCTCTCCTCTTCCTTTTTCCAAATATCTTTTTAATTTCAGAAAAGAGAACTGAGAGTTTCTGACTCCCAGGGAATGAATGCAGTTTGCTTCAAACCCTCCAAATAGGGGGAGCCACCTGGGTCCTCACAGCCTAAGTCTTCAGGGCCTCCGCCCATTTTAGATAATACAAACGACATATTTTGACTGCAGGACCTAGGTAGGCTAGGGCTAGACAGAACCGGGTCTTGGATTTCAGGGATTCCCTGGAGTTTTTCCTGCGGCATCTACTGGGTGGTTGGAAGCCACTTGGGTGCAGGGAGCCCTCCCAGCCGCCAGGGGTCGCGCTGCAGGCGGCAGGGCGCTAGGCTGGCGCTGCCAGGGTCACGGCTGCCGGGCGGGAGGGGGGAGCGGCGGCGCCGGCGGCTGGAGAGTGGGGGGAGGGGGGAGCGGAGAAATCGGGGCGCGCGGAGGAGCACCGATCCCCTAGCACCGCGGGAACCGGAAAGACCGCGCAGCCCGAGCGAGCGGCGCAGCAGCCGAGTTCCCGCGTGGCGCAGCGCGGCAGAGACGCTGGGATCTCCCGGATCTCCCTGCACGGCGCTCTGCGCCTGGGCGCCCTCAGACGCTGCTTCTTCGTTTACTAGCCGCCCGGGCAGGAGCGGCGCCCAAATCGGGTGCGCCATGTCCGGGGCTGGGTAGCCTCGCCGCCCGCCGGCCTGCCAGCCCGCCCTCCGAGCCACCCGCCAGCGGGCCGGCCGGCCGGGCAGTTGCGGGCAGGCAGGTAGGGGCTGGACCGGGCGGGGCAGGGCGGGCGTGGAAAGAAGGGAGGGAGAGCCAGCCAGGCGGGGAATATTCCCCAGCTGTTCCCCGGCGTTGCACATCTGGTTCCGGTTCCTCTCTCTTGGAGAAGTGAAAGTGGAGGGGAGGGCATTGTCCGGAGTTAGCTGCGCCTTGGTATCCTGCACCTCTCCTGTTCCCGAGGTGTTGGAGCCAGAGCTCCCTCCCGCTGTGGTCACGCGGCGGCCAGCGCTGCTGCTGTCACGTCCTGGGCCGCTAGTGCGCCCCACTCTTCATAACCCTCCTTCTTCTTCCTTTGCCTCCTACCCCCTCTACCCCAGCCTGAAGTTCTGACTCTTAGCATGTGGCCATTGGGACCCTGAGGGGTGCTGGTGCTGGACTGTCTTTCCCTGGGAACAAGAGTAGCTTTCTCTGCAGGACTCTTCCAGACTGAAGGGAGGCCTGGGTGCGCAGATCCTACGTGGGATGGGGGCCATCTCAACCCTCAGATTGTTCCACCCAATGGCCCCTGCCTGCTGCCTTGGGCATAGGGCTCTCATTCGTCTGCAGTGGATATAAAGGGCAAGTCTTTTCCCCAGAGCTAAATCAGGACACTGACGCTGACTCCTGGCTTCACCTCCCAGGCATGGAGGCTAAATTTAACTGGGGTTGGGGTGTTTGTTGAGGGGAGCAGAAGACAGGTTAAGGAGAGCCAGATTGACTGCATGAGATTCTCTTGCTCTTCATTGTCTTGGGGAAGGATCGAGGGTTAGGAAGACTGTACATCCTGGAGCAGTTGTGACTCTCTGTGCTCTTGGCTCCTGTCTCTGGTCAGGTTCCTACAAGGCCTGATGCTGTGCTGGCACCTGCAACAGTACCCTACCATGCTGCCGCCACCACCCCTACTATCACCACACACACATTCATACCCATAAGCTGACTTCCGCCAGGCTACAGCTTCCCCTCCACTGTTACAGGAAGTCACCTCCCTTCCCTTCTGTAGCAGCCCCATCACCTCCGGCCCCTGCTGTAAGCCACGCACCAAGCTCTTTTCCAGCTTCTGCATCCTGGGACTCCCCAGGACCCTGGGGACTCTACTCTCTGGGTCTGGGCCATGGAGGCAGGTGAGAACAAGTAAGCTGGTCTACTGTAGGCCTGTTTGCGGAAGTCTCAGCTCCAAGGAGGAGGGCATAGAGAAGACTGAGACGGTCTTTTATGGTTAGTTTGGATCTTACTAGAGGTCCAGTGGTGAGAGGACACTGGATGTTTGGGCAGGCTGGTAGAGTTAAATGAAGGAAAAGGACACAAGTAGAGTGAAAAAATACTAAAGCTTGGATTTTGTGGGGCTTTTTTCGGGGGGGGGGCTTATGAAAACCGAGAGGACTTCTCTTTATGATAATTAGTTATATCACAAGGTTCTTGTGCTATTCTAACCAAAGTAAGAAGGTCAGAAATAATTAACAAAACTGCATGATGTCATGGCCAGAATGAATGATGTAGACTATCACAGAAAAGACTCAGCTCTCTGATTGAGAGTCAGCAAGAGTGAAACCTTTAAAGGATGTGCATAAACATCCTTTGAAATTAGCACCCAGGCTAGCTGTATGTAGGGGACTGGAGTTTGGATTCTTTGGGGAGAAGGGTAGTGCCACATTAAACATGAAGTAGCTGGTCTCTTTAAAATGCTCTGGTGAACTGTGAAGGTCTGGTGATGTCACAGGCGGGAGAGTTCGGGATTGGCTGACTACTAATCCAGCCTTACCTTGGATGGTCTAGGAAGAAGGTAGCAAGTGGACACCCTGGTTGCTATGGCAACATTAGCCTTCTTTCCTTCATCTCTCTTCCCCTTGACTATTCCAGATGCAGTGAGTGAGGGGGGGGCCATGGCAGAAGAGCGGCCCCCCCGGCTGGTGGATTACTTTGTGGTAGCTGGCCTTGCAGGGAATGGAGCACCCATCCCCGAAGAAACATGGGTTCCTGAAGCTAGTGGGCCACTGCGCCCTCCTCGGCCAGCTGAACCTATCACAGATGTAGCTGTCATTGCTAAGGCACTAGGCGAAGAGGTGCCCCAGGGCTACACCTGTATCCAGACCTCTGCTGGGGGCCACCCGTTAGAACTCAGTGCTGGGCTCCTGGGTGGAACTCAACCTGTCATCTGCTATCGCAGGGGCCGTGACAAGCCTCCTCTTGTTGAATTGGGGTATGTACCCCTACTTGTGATAGAACCAGAGGAGGTTGGGAGGGGGTCTAGATGAGGTGGACAGATAGGAATGTGGTATGAGGGAAGGGCAGAGGAAATGAGAACAAAATTAGCTAGAGGTCAGGGCACAGGGACTACAATTGCATGTAGTCATCACACATATTTGTGTTTGTGTCCTAGCTCAGCTACTTGTTAGCTGTGTAATCTTGAGCCTATCAGGTCATGTCTCTTCATCTGTAAGATGGGGATAATAATGCTGCTTTATATTGTGGCTGAGAAGATAAAATGAGATAATCCATGTAGAGCACTCAGTGGTCATTGTTGTTATGTACTATTGCTTTATTATTCTTAGTATACATTAAGGGAGATCTGGTGACTTACTGGTAAGGAAGGATATGTGCTGCCAACCCAAAGCACATGATTTGGATCCACCAGCTCCTCCTTGGGAGAAAGATAAGCAGTCTCCTCCTGTGCAATTTATAGCCTCTGAAAACCTGCTGGAGAGTTAGCTATGAGTCAGTTCTGATTCAATACTACATAACAATAACAACAATATAGATTAGGAGCTCTGGTAGCGTAGTCTATAGGAAATTGCCCTGTTAACCCAAAGGTGATGCCCCTCTGGTGATTTGGATCCATCAGTGAGTGACCCTGAGGGAGAAAGATGGGCAGTCTTTTTCTATGCAATTTTCAGCCTCCTGAAAACTCAGTGGAGGATCAGTTCTGAGTCGGTTACGACTTGATGGCAATGAGTTTGAGTTTTGAGTGTATATTAAAGAGTTTAAGAGCCATGGAAAGCATGAGAAGTTGTTGCTGGGAAGTAAAGCCAATGATAGAAAAAGGGGTCCAGGAATCAGGTGGACAGAGTTCAAGAAAGAAAAGGTGAGCATCAGTGACAAAATTGGATGAGGCTGAGTTTACCAGGCAGTTTTGGGGCTATAATAGGCAGATCAGCCAAAATCAGAGATCTTTCTCCTCTGTCTTAAACTCTTATCATCTGCTTTCTGTGCCAAGGGTGTTATATGAAGGGAAGGAACGTCTCAAAGCTGGCTTCCAAGTACTAGACACGACACCTTATAGCCACTCAGCTAACCTGGCCCCTCCTGGCCCTGGGCACCCCCGCACCTACCTCACTTATCGACGGGCAGCAGAGGGGGCAGGGCTGCATGCCCTGGGCATCACTGACCTCTGCCTGGTCTTGCCCAGCAAAGGTGAGGGCACTCCTCATACCTACTGCCGACTGCCCCGCAACCTCAACCCTGGCATGGTGAGTGGGGCCCTGGGACCTCACATCTGAGGGTATGGGCACTGGGCACAGAGGGCACCCTAGGAGCAAGGCCTCAAACAGCACGGGATGGGCCCAGAGAATGGTTCTCCCAGAGGGGAAAAGGACTTGGTGGGTGCTCTGAAGACAATGCCAGTTAGGGTTGCTGGAGAGAAAATGGACTCTAAAAACCTTTTTAGCTATGTATCTCTTTGTCTCTTGCCATCTCTGGGGCAGTGGGGTCCAGCAGTGTACCTGTGCTACAAGGTGGGCCTGGCGAAGGCCAATACGCTGGTGTATGAAGCAGGTAAGAGGCCTCTTGGTCCTTTTAACCTTTGATCTTCCACACCTCTGTACTCTGGGCCTCGTGATTGATGGGCACCTTTAGTAATTTAGTAATTGCCCCTGTCCTAATTTCCCCTCTCACTTGGCCCTTTTTTGGTACTCCCTTTTATCTTCTGCTGGAGTCTGACAGCCTTTCCTCCTTCTTGGTACCCTCATTCTGCTGGGGGTGCAGAGCTGCTGGGTCGCTACCCAGAGGAGGACAATGAAGCATTTCCGCTGCCCGAGTCAGTGCCCGTCTTCTGCCTGCCCATGGGGACCACTATTGAGTGTTGGCCTGCTCACACCAAGTACCCAGTGCCCGTCTTCTCCACCTTTGTGCTCACGGGTGCAGCTGGTGATAAGGTGGGTATCTGGAGTGTGGTTGGGGACCCAGGTTATGCAGGACCTGCCTGACTCATTCTCTGTGCCTTGCCAGGTGTACGGCGCTGCTCTGCAGTTCTATGAGGCGTTCCCCCGGGCCCGACTGTCCGAGCGGCAGGCACGGGCCCTGGGCCTGCTGAGTGCTGTGGAGCGGGGCCGGGCCCTGGTGGGCCGAGCTGTGCGCAGCCGAAGAGCCATTGCTGTCCTGTCCCGCTGGCCTGCCTTCCCCGCCTTCCGAGCCTTCCTCACCTTCCTTTACCGCTACTCCGTCTCAGGCCCTCACCGTCTGCCCCTGGAAGCGTGAGCAGGCCTCCTCTGGGAAACGGAAGGGGTTGTAAAGACACTGGGAGGCCAGGAGAGATGACAGAAGTCAGGGTGGAGCTAGGTTTTTGAACAGCAGGGTGAGGGGCAGAACAGTTGTGTAGAGTTGCAGTTGAGCCTTTGCTGAAAGTCCCTGGCTGAGTGGGTACATGAGATCTGCAACCCTGTGACATTTTCTAGTTAAATCCTGCCTAAGGGTTGTACATAGTCAGGAGGGAGCTCTTCTGATTGCACAAGTTCTAGACATAATGGAGATGCTGACGGGTGATACAGGTCTTGAGGTAGGGTTTGGGAGAAAAAGGGTCCTTTGGGGGAAATGACGGAGCTGAGAAAATTTGGGATAGGGAAAGGAATCTGCCACTAACTTGTTTCCCTCCCTCCTTCCCCCAGGCACATCTCCCACTTTATTCACAATGTCCCCTTCCCTTCCCCACAGAGACCCCGAATCCTAGTGCAGGTGAGGGCTGAGGCTGAGCCGGGCACTGGGTGGGGGGCCTGGCATTGGGTCTTGTCATTCTGACTGTGGCTCCTCTGCCTTCTTAGATGTCTCCCTATGACAACCTGCTCCTCTGCCAACCTGTATCCTCACCTCTGCCCCTCAGGTATGTGCACAGGTTGGTGGAGGTGGGGGAGCTCAGTGAACAAGCACGTGATGGGTGGGTGCAAGTGGTCTGTACAGGCTGGGCCCAGGAGTTGTGTGTGCCCCATGAAAGGGGATGTCTGTGGTCTCCTAGAGACCCACCCACCTTGGCATCCCCCACAGTGGTGCCAGCTTCCTGCAGCTGCTGCAGAGCTTGGGTCCTGAGCTGGCTATCACGTTGCTGCTGGCTGTGCTAACAGAGCATAAACTACTAGTTCACTCGCTCCGGCCAGACCTGCTCACCAGTGTCTGCGAGGCCCTTGTCTCTGTGAGTGCCACCCTGCCCAGCCCACTTGCCCCAGGCCATGATTATTCCTGGGGCCACCTCTCATCCTTCCCCTTTTCCTTCTTTGAGAAGAATCCCAAGCCCTTCTCTTTAGACAAAGCCTACAGGACTAGGCAGCTCCCATTGTGGGTTCTTCTTTGCAGCCTAATCCGACAGCCCCCCTGCACAAAGCCCACTCTTTCCCAGTCCTGTCACCGTTGTCCCAAACCTTGATCACTTGTTCTCAATCCCTGGTGCTTCAGATGATCTTTCCGCTGCACTGGCAGTGCCCCTACATTCCGCTGTGCCCGCTGGTGCTGGCAGATGTGCTCAGCGCCCCGGTGCCTTTCATTGTGGGTATCCACTCCAGCTACTTCGACCTCCACGACCCACCTGCTGACGTCATCTGTGTTGATCTTGACACCAACACACTCTTCCAGTAAGAGGGTGGGGTCTTCCTGCAGAGGACATCTGGAGGGGCATGAGAGGGCTCTTATGGAGTGCTCCCTGCTTAACATAGTCTCAGATGAAAAATGAGGCATACTAGCCTAGAGGCAGGGGTCCTTCCAACTTAGACATCTTTCTTTCCTTCTGTGTCTGTCACAGGACTGAGGAAAAGAAGCCCCTTTCCTCTCGGACCTTGCCCCGCAAGCCCTATAAGGTTCTGCTGGCGACACTAACAAACCTTTACCAACAGCTGGACCAGAGTGAGACACTTAGAATGGGGCAGTGGGAGGCTGTAAACTTGTCTTGGACCTTAAACATCTAGTTTGGGGAGGCTTGTGGGGAGCTAAACGGACTTGAAGAGATTAGAGCTAGGGCTCACATTCTAATTTAAGCATGCAGTGAGAGAGGCATGCAGTGTTCCTGCAGCAGGTTGGGAAGGTGGAGCTTGTCACTGGAGAGACTTGAGACTGTTACCTGGTGTAACGTTTTAGCCGATATTGGTGTGAGATCTGTTAAAGGCTGGAGATGGTGGGGCAGCGGTGGGAACATGTATGTGAAAAGCAGGGGTGCGGTGGTGCTGGCCCTGACTCTCAGCTCACCCTGGTCCCCAGCCTATACTGGACCTGAGGAGGAGGCATCCTTGGAATTTCTGCTGACTGACTACGAGGCAGTGTGTGGTCGCCGGGCCCGGCTGGAGCGTGAAGTCCAGGGCGCTTTCCTCCGCTTTATGGCCTGTCTTCTCAAGGGCTACCGGGATTTCCTTCGCCCACTTACCCAGGCGCCCTCTGAGGGAGCACGAGATGTAGACAACCTATTTTTCCTGCAGGGTAAAGTGGGCTTATCTTCACTTCAGCTAGGCCTGCCTTTCTGTGGCCAGTGCTGGGTCCTGTGGGGAAGGCAGAGAGGACGGGAGCCACACAGCAGCTTGTTTGTTCACTCAGCAAACGCTTCTGGGAGTATTTGCTTTGAGCTAGATTCTGCTGGGCTTGGAGAGAGTGATAATATAAAGATGCCCTGACCTCTGGGAACCTTGGACTTGGGATGGACATAGTCACACCTGTGGTGAGCAGCCCCTGTGGGCAAAGCTCTTTTCAGAGGTGGTGCTTTTGGAGAAGTTTGTGAGGTAGTCAGTCGGTGCAGTCAGTCAAAAGAGAGAAGATGCCATGGAACCACGGTGCTGGGGAAGTGAAGCTCATTGGTGTGTGGTGTAGATGTGGTAGAGGGTCTAGAGACAACAGTTTTGCTGGCTTTGGGTCCCATCAGGATCCTGAATGGGGAAGGAACCGAGGAAGGAAGGGGTCGAGGGAGGGTGTACCTACGGTACAGAGCCTTCCAGGTAACCTCCCTCCTTTGCCCTACCCCGTCTTCCTCAGGCTTCCTGAAGTCTCGGGAGCGCTCTAGTCACAAGCTGTACTCTCAGCTGCTGCACACCCAGATGTTTTCACAGTTCATTGAGGAATGTTCCTTTGGCTCTGCTCGCCATGCTGCTCTTGAATTCTTTGACTCCTGTGTTGACAAGGTACTGGATATTGTCTCTTTTCCGTCTGCCCATTGGCCTCTGCCCTTCTGGCTTTCTCTATTTCCCAAGGCCACCACATAGTGTAAATTCAGATCTCAGCAATGAGAGGATGGCTCCCTAGAGCTACCTGGTGGACAGCCTGTGCAGTTGTACGAGGCTGACTTTACATGGCCACATCTGGCTGCCTACTGAGTTTCCCTTCCTAATTCCATCTTCCTAGATCTGTCTCCAGGGTCCATGCAGAGTCTGGGTTACTGGCCCTTTCCCTGTGGATGTGTTCTCCATAGATGTCACCTTCTGGCCACCCTGGCCACTGTCTCAATGCTTGCTCTTTTATGATCCTGCGCCAGGTGCATCCAGAACAGGAGAAGCCTGAACCAACACCCTTGGTGGAGCTGGAGGAGCTGTCAGGAAGTGAGCTCACTGTCTTCATCACTCCGCCTGAGGAGCCACCAGTGACAGAGGGCAGTGACTTGACTCCCTTGTACTGGTAAGAACCGGTTTATCCCCTCTCTCTTCTCCAAGGCCCCAAAGGCTGACCCAGCACGGTTGTTTGGCTCCATGCTGATGGCCCATGACGTTGTCCCTCTATCACTACAGTTATGATGGGTTCCCAGAGCTGCGGCCTGAGTTGTTCGAATCTCCTCAAGAGCAGACAGGGGCCCTGCCTGTGCCAGGCCCATCCCGAAGTGCCCCGAGCAGTCCTGCTCCACGGCGTACCAAACAGGTAACCAGCAGGTGGGCACCTCAGAGGGAGCTGGCTTAGGACTGCCCTCACAGTTTGCTCAGCCGTAAATCAGAGTAATGCTACTACCTACTCCAAGAAGTTGTTAAACCACCAGTTGCTGTCAAGCTGATGCTGAATTATGGCAACCCAGTGTGTGTAGAGTTGAATTGTTCTACATGCTGAGTAGGCTTGACTTCTAACATTTCGTTTAGTATAAACTGTACCACCCGGAGAGTCCACAGGTTTCTAGAATTTAAATGTGCCTGACATATAAAAACCCATTGTATAAGCCTATTTCTGTTGTGGTGTTCCTCCTCTTGCAACGTCTCTGGGACTCTAGGGGCTGGTTGCCCTAGTCGCACGCACAGGGTAGCTCTGGTGGTGTAGTCTGTAGAGAGCTGTGCTGCTAACTTAAAGGCCGAGTGTCTCTAGTGGTTCGAATCCACCAGTGGCTCCAAGGGAGGAAGTGTCCTCCCATTACAATTTACAGCCTTGGAAATCTGCTGAAGTGTTGCTGAGGGTTGAAACTGGATTGATGGCAGTGAGCGAGCCCATGCTCAGGCCCTTGGCATCACCACTGGGGGCTTTAGGGCTAACACATGTGGGATAGTGCAGCCTTCCTGCTTCCTCTGAGCACAGGCCCTTCCTCAGGAGCCTCAGTTGAGTGTGGTCCTTTCCTCACACCATTTTAAGGCCTGAGTCCTGGCTTTGTCCTCACTCTGGTGTTTCTCATGTCCCAACCAGGAGATGAAGGTTGCACAGCGGATGGCACAGAAGTCAGCGGGTATGCCTGAGCTGTGGGCCCGGTGCCTGCTGGGGCATTGCTACGGGCTGTGGTTCCTGTGTCTGCCTGCCTATGTGCGGGCAGCCCCCTCCCGGGTGCGCGCACTGCACACAGCCTACCACGTGCTACGTCAGATGGAGAGCCGCAAGGTGGTGCTCCCTGATGAGGTAGGCAGCCGTGTGCTCACCCAGCCGTGCCCACTCCTTATTCCAGTGAGGCTGTGTAGCCGTGGAGACTGTGATAAAGAAACTGAGACCAGGGAAAGGAGTCAGGACAGATGGGAACCAGGGTTGAGTGGATGCTCTGTGAACATCTACTCAAAGAATGAGCATGACCGGGGTAGAGCAGCAGAGCCTATAGGGTGGTGAAGTCAGCAGGAAGAGTGGGTGGTTCTGAGGCAGTATCCAGAGCTGCTGGGGACCTGTCAAGACCGAGGACAGGGAAGGCTGGAAAAGGGTGTGTGTGGAGCTTGAAGGTTTAGCTGCAGGTGAGTTCCTGCTCATCCTGCGTCTCTCCGGGCCTAGGTGTGTTACCGGGTGCTGATGCAGCTCTGCTCACACTATGGGCAGCCTGTGTTGTCTGTGCGGGTCATGTTGGAGATGCGGCGGGCAGGCATCGTGCCCAACACCATCACCTACGGCTACTACAACAAGGTACTACATTCAGGGGCAGGGGATGGGTAGGGTGGCATCCTGCACCAGCTGTGCACATACGGGAATGCTGCTCCTTGTTACCTGTGGCTCTCCTGGCTCCTCGATGCTGAGCCTGGGCCATTCAGGTAGGTGCTGTAGCTGCTGTCATCATGGTACCCAGCACTGTACTAAATAAACCACGCTTGTGAAATAATTTGATCTTCACAACAACCCGATGAGGGGAGATGACTGCTACCCCTAACTTATAGATGAGATGACATTGCAAAGAGCTTAGTAGCTTGTCTGAGGTCTCCCAGTGAGTAAATTAGGGAGTTAGAATATGAAAACAAGCAACATGTCTTCCAAATTCAGGTTCTTAACCATGATACTAAATTGGTTCCCATTTTTCAGATGAGGAAACTAATGATCGGAAGGGAAATTATTTATTTTAAACTGTATCTTTTATAAGTAGCAGAGTCTGGATACAATTTTTCTCCTCTGCCTCTGGGCCCCTTCAGAGGGACCAGCCTCCACCTACCCTTGTCCCCAGTGAGCCAGGGCAGGCCAACCCAAGGTGTCTGCTGGGGAAGGTGGTTCCTGGGGCCCCTCGACAGACTGTGAACATTGTGTTAGGGGTCAAGGTGTGGAAGCAGGCCATCCTGATGGGCACTGTGTTTGGCAGGCTGTGCTAGAAAGCAAGTGGCCATCTGGCACACCAGGTGGGCGCTTGCGTTGGGCCAAGCTCCGGAATGTTGTCTGGGGGGCTGCTCAGTTCCGCCAGCCTTTGAGAGAACGGCAGAGGCAGCAGCAGCAGCAGCAGCAGCAGCAGCAGCAGCCGCAGCCGCAGCAGCCGCCACCGCCGCAGGCAGCAGCACATCAGGATACAGGCAGTTCCCAGACAGGTAAGTAGGGACTGGTGAAAAAGGCTGGGGCCTAAAGCAGCCAGGCTCAGGCAAGGAGAGGAATGAAGAGCTGGGCCTTGCCTAGGGGTTGGCGTTGGGTGCTCTGGGAGGTTAAACTAGACTTTCAGCTAGTGACAGAAGGTTAGAGTTCTGCCTGGAAGGGCCCTCCATAAACCCAAGTCCGTCTAAGTAATTCTGTTTCGGAATAGGGGGCTGGGTCCCTAATGGAAGTTTCTAAAGCCCCTCACTGGCTTTCACAGATCCCTATCTGGAGCGCCCCTCCCCTACCCGTCCCCTTCAGCGCCAGACTACCTGGGCTGGGCGCAGTCTGCGGGACCCAACCTCTCCCATGGGGCGTCTGGTGAAGAGCAGCAGCCTGGGCAGTGCCAAGGGGGCACAGCCTACTGTGGAGGCTGGCGTGGCCCACAGTGAGTGCCCTTGTCTGACCTCTCTTTGTCAGCAATTCTAACCACTTGTCTATGTTAGACCAGCGCTGGGGTGAAGGGGTGGCGCTCTGTGGTGGGCATTGTAGACTCTGTGGGAATCTTGCCCGGAATGTTGTCATGGGGGTGAGGGTTATGGTGCCAGCTTGTGTAGTCAAGATTGTATTTACTCAGGAAAGGGGCAACTGGAAGAGGTGCTTGCCTCTCTCTTCCCTGATTCTTTTCTGCCCTGCAGTGATTGATGCCTTGGGGGTCCTGGAACCCCGTGGATCACCTGTGCCCTGGCATGATGGAAGCCTCTCAGATTTGAGCCTAACAGGGGAGGAGCTGGCACCTGGAGGCAGCCCAGGGCCTGTGGACTTGGCCCTCACTGCCCAATCCACTGAGATCCTGGAAGGGCTAAGTGGGCGGGTGTCCAAGGCTGGTGGGCGTCAGGAAGAATCAGGCACCCCACGACGAGGTCTAGGTGCCCGCCTTCAACAGCTGCTCACTCCTTCCCGCCGCTCCCCAACCTCCCGGGCTTCCCTACCTGAGCTCCCCCCTGACCTGCCTCTCCCAGCCCTGCGAAGCCCTATGGACAGCCTTCTGCGCCCCCGAGAGCGCCCTGGATCTACTGCTTCTGAGGTAGCTAGCAAGGGGCAGAGCCAGACACCTTAAGGCCTGGAAGCCTGGGACTATCTCGGAGCATGCCCACGGGGGTGGGGGTGTCTGAGGTGTAGTCGGGCAAGCATCCCATAGTATTGGCTAACCATATTTTCTTATGCAATGGCAGAGCTCAGCCTCTCTGGGCAGTGAGTGGGACGTCTCAGAATCCTCTCTCAGCAGCCTGAGCCTTCCCCGATCCTCAGAGCGCCTCACCGACACCCCTGGATCCTTGCAGCCACCTTCCCTGGAAGTGAGAATAACAGTTCCTACATGCGTATCTGTATCCATGAACACACATGCACACACACATTCACCCTGTTAAAGGTCGAGGTTGGGGAGGGGGTGGAAGGAAATTGGGTTGGGATTGCAATGTAGGAGGTACTAGGGGAAAGCTTGGGCTCCAGGGTCCTTGGGGTCTTCTTGTCTACAGATTCTGCTGTCTAGCTGCTCCCTGTGCCGTGCCTGTGATTCACTGGTGTACGATGAGGAGATCATGGCTGGCTGGGCACCTGATGACTCTAATCTCAACACAACCTGCCCCTTCTGCGCCTGCCCCTTTGTGCCCCTGCTCAGTGTCCAGACCCTTGATTCTCGACCCAGGTGCCCAAGGCAGGGCAAGTGCTGCGGGTGGGACAGGAAGATGGAGGTCTGAGAGCTCACCGTTCCTCCTTTCCCACCTCTGCAGTGCCTCTAGCCCCAAGTCCACCCCTGCTAGTGCCAGCAGCAACAAGGATGCTCCCATTCCTGGGGGCCCTGGCCCTGTGCTCAGTGACCGCAGGCTCTGCCTCGCCCTGGATGAGCCCCAGCTCTGCAACGGGCACATAGCGGTGAGGGCTGGGTCAAAAAGGCACAGAAAATGGGGATGCAGCACTTTGTGGGGCAGACCCAGTACTCCTGGGAGAGAGATGGGGATTGAGGGTCAGGGGCATCCTAAAAGCTGTTAGACATGATGACTTAGTGGGAGGCAAGACTCTGGGGATGGAACCATGGTTCTCTCCTTCTTGTACCTGACAGAGTGCCTCCCGGCGGGTCGAAGGTGGGGCCTGGGCATACTTGAGCCCCCTGGTGCTGCGGAAGGAGCTGGAGTCGCTGGTGGAGAATGAGGGTAGTGAGGTGCTGGCGTTACCTGAGCTGCCTGCTGCCCACCCCATCATCTTCTGGAACCTTCTATGGTATTTCCAGCGGCTGCGCCTGCCTAGTGTTCTACCAGGCCTGGTTCTGGCCTCCTGTGATGGGCCCCCAGATCTCCAGGTCTGTGTACCCAGAGGTCCTCACTTTTTGAGTGCTTCCCGTTTTGCCCCCCCAGCTCTTGGTTCTCATAGTATAGTGTCGTGGGCATGGAGTACCGTATGATCGCCTACCAACTTAGGAACCTATTGTACTTAGCTTGAATCATGGAGCTTTTCCTTCACCTCAGTTTCACTGTGAATTGTGGTTTTCTAACCTGTAAAATAGAGGCAAAAGCACCTACTTCACAGGACTGTTGGCTAGACGCCTCGTGTAGTGGATGGTACATATGAAATGACCCATTAATGCTTGCTCATTTATTCACTCCATCAGTATTTAATGAGCACTTTCTAGGTTTCAGATAGAATTTTTAGACACTAGAGATTTAGCTGATTATAAAACAAAATCCTTGCTTTCAAAAAGCTCACATTCTAAAGGGAAGATAACAATCCTTCTTTTTGACTGTGTCCTGTAATATTCCTGTCTCCACCACCTGTCCATTTCCTGTCCTCGGCCTGCTCTGTTCCATGAGTGTCTCCTCTCTTGGCTTCCTACAGGCCCCATCGCCTTGGCTACCCCCTGATCCGGCCTCTGTGCAGGTACGACTGCTGTGGGATGTCCTGACCCCTGACCCCAGCAGCTGCCCACCTCTCTATGTCCTCTGGAGGGTCCACAGTGAGTTTGAATTTTAGCCTCTGGTAGGAGGGATAGGTCCCATGTCCAAATAGCTTCATGACCCTAGCCACTTTCCTTTCTTTGACTCAGGTCAGATTCCCCAGAGGGTGGTATGGCCAGGCCCGGTACCTGCATCCCTTAGCCTGGCTTTGCTGGAGTCGGTACTGCGCCACGTTGGACTCAATGAAGTACACAAGGCTGTGGGGCTCCTTCTGGACACACTAGGGCCCCCGCCCACTGGCCTGCACCTGCAGAGGTATACTGCTTTCATCTTGGAAGTCACTGGCTTGTATCAGGCTTCACACCCCCTTTCTCTCACTTGTACCCTATTGTGTCTGCTCTAGGGGCATCTACCGTGAGATTTTATTCCTGACAATGGCTGCTCTGGGCAAGGACCATGTGGACATAGGTGAGGGAGCAGGCTGAGCCTGGGGAGTTCAAGGGCCTGGGGCCAGGTTAGGAAACTAAGCTCCTAATGGATTTGCCTCCACTTTCTTCCTTAGTGGCCTTTGACAAGAAGTATAAGTCAGCTTTTAACAAGTTGGCCAGCAGCATGGGCAAGGAGGAGCTGCGACAGCGACGTGCACAGATGCCCACGCCCAAAGCCATTGATTGCCGTAAATGTTTTGGAGCACCTCTAGAATGCTAGGGACCCTGAACTTCCCACTCTAGCCTTGCGGTGGGGTGGGGAAGAAAATTCTAGTGATAACCTCCTTCCCTGTTCCCTCAGAGAGGAGTTGGGAAGAAGCTGGCAAGCATGCCCAACCATAGGCTCCCAGTGCGGATAGCAGGAAGAGGGACCTACTGTTACCAAAAGTTCCCTTCTCGCCAACCTGCCCATTTTGCTTGTACTGATGTTAGAGGAGGTCTGGAGGGAGTTTGGCACAGCTCTGTTGCTCCTGTGTCCTATATCAGGAACCCTCAACCAGGGTACCTACAGATTTGCACTGCCCTGGTCATTTTAGAAGTTTTTGTTTTAAAAAACAACTGGAAAAAAAAAATACAGAGCTACTGAGCCTTTGCCTTGAATGGGAGGGATGGATTCTCTACCAGTAATGGCCCCTCTTCCCTGGCATTGCTGAAGGAGCCCAAGGCTCCCCATACCTTCTTACCTTAGTGTTTGTATTTTATTTTATTTATTCTGGAGCCATAGCCTCCCTGCTTATGAGGTTCTTGTGGATCGTGATAAACAAAAGGGAAATGCAGGCCCATGAACCAGTGGTCTGTAGCTCCTTGGAAGTCAGGTTTGGAAATTAAAGAAGTCCGAACCTCTTGGGAAGAATTGGTGCCCCCTCCAGTTCTAATCTTTGTCCACTCCTTGTTGGGAGTGCCTCACCCACCCAGGGCCCTGACCTGTGCAATAAGGATTGTTCCTTGCGAAGTTTTGTTGATGTAAATATAGTAAAAGCTGCTTCTGTCTTTTTCCTGCTGCTTCCTGTTTCATGAATCTGGGAAAATTGTGGGGACACCTTTCTTCTTCCCAGGCTACATATCTTCCTTCTCACCTTCCATCCCATCCTGTACAGCCTTCAAGCACATCCTGCTTCCTTTGACCAGGTTTGCCACTGGCCCCCTTGGGGCACAGGGTGTTCTGGGAGCAGGAGAGGGGTGAATCTGGCACTGGCTACAGTAGTGCAAAGTCTGTGTAGGCACTTCCGGCCCTCCCATACAATCACCCCCTTGTCCCTCATCTGTATCCGTACAAAGGCTCCATTCTCTGGGGGCCCTGAGCTCATCTCTGCCTACTTTCCCCCAGCCTTCAACCCACACCCCCAGCTTCTCCAGTACCTCCGAAAGGATGACACCCTATCCCCAGAAGTTGATGTTGGCAGATTTTGTGCATCCTGGCAGTTTTTCTCACTCTCCTCAGTTATTTTAGCTGCAGGCACTTCACCAACCAGGGTCCCAGCCTGGGGACAGGACCAGAGAAATGGGGAGAGAGACGAAGAAGCTTGCTGCATTTAAGCATCAGGAAGACAGGCATTATTTTCCTAATCCCTTTGGTCCACTCAAATTTCTCCTTCCTCTCTTGTTCTGGTATAATGAAATAAACACAGGAAACAACTCCTAACAGAGCTGCAAACCAATTACCAATGAGTATTAGCCAAGAAAATTGCATTGGGGAAGAGGGCAAGAATGTCTATGGAGGGAACAATTTATATGTATCTTAGTGCAAAATTCTAGGGAAGGGTCAGTGGAGGAAGAGAGACTGCTACCACTTCTGAACACTGGGACCCTCAAGCCAGAGGACCTTCCTCATCCAATGTTCTTTTTTTTTTTTTTTAATGAAAGTTTACAAATCATGCTGGTTTCCATCCAGCCTTTGATATAGCAGAATGCTTGTCTAGTGTCATCAAGAGTTGCAGAGTAGGAAGTTGGAGCTTAGGAAATGCCATTTATTTTGCTAGGAATTAGGTGATGCCCTCCTCAAAGGGTAACCCTTAGGCTACCCAGGTTCTAATCAGACTCTGCTCCCCATAATCAAGTTCTCTCTGTAGCATACTGTCTTGAGGACAGAAAATGGTACATGCGGGCACAGGGCCATGAGCATCTTTCTGAAAGAGCCATAGGGAGTCAGAATAGTACAGCCCCTCACTGTCCCAGAGCAGAAAGCAGATAACGAGCCTATAGCCAAGCCCCATAGTGCCTGTAGAGCCCTACCAGCAGCAAGAGGTTCATTTATTTGTTGTTGATTTACAAACCCACAGTTGTTGAACTGAGAATGGGGTTTATTAGAGAAGTAAGTTGGAGAATGGGGGAGGAAAAGAATATTTCACAATGCAAATCCAAGCTTTAGCTAAGCAGTCCCAAAGCACAATTCCTCAGGTAGTCCAGGCTCTGGTTTTAGTTCAGCAGGCAGCTTTTTTCTTCCATCATCAAAGGCAAGAAGAGCAAAATCTTTTAACTGTGGCCTTTATCTCTGGATTCCTCTGGTTACACTTAGCCACATTTTCTCTACAGCAATGCCATAGCCTCTCAACAATCATCATCAGGGTCTCACCAACAGGGTCTCATTCTCAACAGGGTCTCATAGTCTCCCTCACGTCTTCCTTTCCTCCAGTCTTGCTGTCCAGTATGAGAAACACTCTCTTATCCTAGTCACACAGTTGTAGATAATTTGCAAGACCATGTACCTGCAATTAAAGTAACTGAAGACCAGAGGGGGCTGACTGTAATGGATTTTTTAAAGCCTATTTTTAGGCTAATATCACACATTCCCAAGGACCTTTTGAAAGAAAGCACTTGACCTAAAAATCTTGCATTTCTGTTGGTTTACTGTGCTGTGCCATCTGAAACTGCAGACAGAATTTTAAACTCAGTCTCTACCCCTATCCTGGTTTACAGACAATAATGGCAATCACCTTCTCTCCCAGTTTATGTTTCTTAATTTTGGGCTTCCTTTTGGAATTTTGCAATCAGGTGGATTGCTGATGATGGTGGTAAGTGTCACTGAGTTAAGTATAACTCATAGCGATTCTATGAACAACAGATCTGAACCCTGACCTATCCTGTGCCATCCTCACAATCTCTGACACACTCAACCCCATTGCTGCAGTCACAGTGTCAACCCACCTGATAGAGAGTCGTCTTCTCTTACTGTCCCTCCATCTTCCAAAGGGTGATTTCCCTTTCCAAGGAATACCCTCTCCTGACAATAGGCCCAAAGTATGTGAGTCAAAGTTTAATCATCTTTGCCTTCAAAGAGCACTCTGGCTGTACCTTCTCCAGGACATCTGTTTGTTATTCTGGCAGTCCATGGAATATTCAATACTCTTCAACACCACAGCTCAAAAGTATCAGTAATTTTTCTGTCATCCTTATTCACTGTCCAGCTCTCAGATGCATAGCAAGTGATTTAAAAGACCATGGCCTGAATAAGGTGCATTTTAATCCTCAAACTAACATCGTTGCTCCTCAATAATTTGGAGATATCCCTGACTGTAGGATTTCCCAGTGCAATACATCTCTTGATCTCCTAACTGCTGGTACCAAGTGTCAATTGATTGTGGACCACGAAAAAACAAAAATATCTTGTTGCTGAGTCAATTCTCAGTGATTCCATAGGGCAAAATAGAACTACTTAATGGAGTTTCCAAGACTACATTTTTATGGAAGCAAACCTGCCACATTGAACTGTGGAGAGGCTGACTTGTGGGTCCAAACTACAGACATTTTGCTAGCAGTCAAGCATTTTAACCAATGTACTACCAAGTCTCCTTTAACCATAATTTTTTTTAAAAATCCCTTTCTGTAAAACAGAGCTCTGGTTATGTAATGGGTAGGAAGTTGTGGTGCCCACCTAAAAGCCTGAAGTTTGAAACCAGAAGCTACTTTGAGGAAGAATGATAGGCAGTTTCCTTCTGTGCAATTTGCAGCCTTTGAAAAACAACTGGAAGATCACTTCTGAGTTGGTTTTGATTCAACAGCAAGGAGTGAATGCCACTGAATTTATTACAATTCACTGGGATCCTGTGTGACAGAGCAGCACCGTTGTTTTTGGGTGTGATTTTTTTTTAAAATTTTAGATGCTTTTCTTTTTTAAAAATTTTTTAAATTATTCATTTCAATGAAAATTTACAGAGACTTTGGGTTTCTATTCATTCATTGTTACACTTTCCTCCCCTCCCAATCTTCCCCCCCAGTACACTCCCCTCTTGGAGAAGTAAAAGAAAAATTCTTTCATTGTTTTATAATCCCTCCCCCTAGGTCCACTCCACTATGCAGCCTTCACTCTGGACTCCTGTCATGACAATAATACCTAATCACACATCCCTTTTAAACAGTTTTCTCCCTCATATGTGTCAATGCAGTATACATTCCTGAACCCATCTTTCTCAGTCTCCCCCCAACCCTGATGTCAGTCCTGTTTTATAGTAGTGGGACTATGCAGTATTTGTCCTTTTTGTGACTGAGATACTTCATTCAGCATAATATCCTCCAGGGTCACCCGTTTTGAATAATATTGCATGAGTTCCTTGTTTTTCAATGCTGCATAGTATTGTGCGAATATACCAGAGCTTCTCTATCCATATGTTTGTTGAGGGGCACTTAGGTTGTTTCCAACTCCTTGCTATTGTGAACGAAGTCCCAATACACATGTGTGTGCATATATCTGCTTGGACGTCAGTTACGGTCTCTTTGGGGTATATTCCCATTAGTGGAATTGCTGGGTCAAATGCTATCTCTATTTGCAACTTTTTGAGAAAGCACCACACCGCCTTCCACAGTGGTTGCACTATTCTACAGTCCCACCAACAGTGAATAAGGGTTCCAGATTCTCCACAACCTCGCCAGCATTTGTTGCGTGCTGTTCTGTTAAATTTTGCTATCCTGACTGGGCTGAGATGATATCTCATAGTTGTTTTGAAGTAGCACTTTTTTTTTCTTTAATTTTTTTATTATGTGTGTGTGTGTGTGTGTGTGTACCGTCAAATCAGATCTGACTGGTACAGGAGGAGATTGCCCCTCCTTCCTCGCCAGAGCATCTAGTGGATTTGACCGTGGGCCTCTGGGATTGCAGTGCAGCTTCTTGCCACTAGGCCACCAGAGCTCCAAAGTAGCACTGTTTTAAAGAGTTCAGAAGAAAAAAAAAGTTCAGAAGACTGTAACTCTATGGAAGCCAACTGCCACGATTTTCTCCTGTGGAGC